GGTATTCAGTTATGGTTTTTGTATTGCATATTGCTATCTTTGATGTAGTTGCTCAGATTATAGATATTAGTATCCAGTTAGTCAAGGTGAAAATTTTACAGTGTTTTTTTTTTTTTTGTTGTTGTTGTACTGGGGATCAAACTCGGGACCTTGCACTTGCTGGAAAAGTGAAAATCTTAAACATTAATTACTGGGCTGGGGAGATAGCTCAGTAGGATGAGCACCTGCCTGGCAAGCATAAGGTCCTGAGTTCAATCCCTGGTACAGTGCGCAAAAACAAAACAAAAAATCATTAACTGCTGTTTAAAAAAAAGAACAAAAACTGATGGAATTAGTAATGCAATCATCTCAGCTATCCTGTATCTACATATTTGCCTGATTCCCTCCCCCTTTTTGAAAATCTTTTCCTCCTTTCTCTCATCTTCATTGTTTATTCCTTATGTTCAGTTTCTTTCTGTTTTACTGTATCTATTATACCTTCAGATTTTACTTATTCTTTCAGGTTCTTAAACTAGGGAGACAATATTTACACATGTGGGTCTGATTTATTTTACTTATGAGTATAGCCTCTAGTTGCATCCATTTGTCTATAAAGGCCTCAAGTTTGTCCTTCTTTATAGCTGAGTAATAAATATTTCATTGTATAAAATTATATCCTTTTTATCCATTCCTCAGGTAATGGGCATTTTGGTTGTTTCTGAGATTTGGCTATGACTAAATTGTGCTGCTATAAACATGAGTGCACATACATCACTGTGCTATGATGTTTTCAGTTCTTTTGGTAAATATCCAGAACAAATAGCTGGATTAAATGAGATTTCCAGCCCTAGTTTTTTGAGGAAGAGTCACACTAATTTCCATAGAGGTTGCAGCAGTCTACATTCCTACCAACAGTGGAGAAGTGTTCCTATTTCCCCACAGCCTCTCCAGCATGTAATTGGTTGATTTCTTTAGGACACCCATTCTTTCTGGGGTGAGATGGTATCTCAATGTTTTACTTTGCATTTCTTGAATGACCATTGCTGTAGAACTTTTTTTTCATGGATTTGCCATATGTATTTTTTTCCTCTGAGAAGTGTGTATTCATTTCAGATGCCCATTTTTGGATTGGGTCTTTGAATTTTGGGGGCCTTTTAAAAATTTATTTATATTTTCAGTTCTTTATATATTCTAGATAGAAGTCCTTTGATTGCTTAAGATTTTTTCCCCCAATTTGTGGGTTGTCTTTTCACTCTATTGGTGAATTCTTTTGATGTGCTGGAACTTCTCAGTAAGATGAGATCCTAGTTGTTGATTCTTTGAAGTGTTTCCTGTGCAGTTTGGTTTTTGTTCATGAATACTGCATACCAGATTCCAAGATTCTTTTTTTACTTTTGGAGACAGGATCTTGCTATACAATTTAGGCTGTCATTGAGCTCACTTTGTAGGCTATTCTGGTCTTGCACTCACAAGGCTCCTGCCTCACCCCTGCTAGTGGTGAGATTACAGGTTTGTGCCACCACACCTGGCAAACCCATCAATTCTTGTATTAAATCAATTTGATAAAATTGATGTTTTGCAGCAAAAATTATGCAATTTTTGGTCACTCTGAATAAAAAAAATTGGACTGGTAAGTGGTTAGTATTTTGAGTATGTTCTTTTACATTTTATGTTTTAGACAGGGTCTTGCTGTGTAGGTCAGGAATACAGGGTATGGCTGGCCTGGATTTCTTTTTGAGTTTGTATTTTGAGAGAGGGTGCTGTGATGTGGCTTGGGATGCACAGGAACTCACGGTATGAACCAAGTTATCTTAGAACTTTTCCTTGTGCCTTTGCCTTCCCAAATGTCAGGATTACAGTGATCAACCATGCCTACCTAGCTCTTTACTCTTGGTATTATTTTTCTTTTCAGTTTGCTTTGTGATTTTTTTTTTAAAATTTTTATTTATTTGTGTGTGTGTGTGTGTGTGTGTGTGTGTGTGTGTGTCCAGCTCAGCCCACCAGGGGGCAGGCTGGCAGGCATGTGGTGCTGGGGGATTGAACCGCGGTTCCTGTGCTTTGCTAAGCTTGTTCTAAGTAGGTGCTTTAGACCACTGAGCCATCTCACCAGCCCCTGCTTTGTGACTTTTTGATATAGGGTCTTGCTATACAGTTGAGGGTGTCCTTGAGGTTAGCCTCGAACTTGAGACAATCCTCCTGCCTCAACTTCCGAAATTTGAGATTTCAGATGTGGGTTACCACACCTGGTTAGTCTTAGTATTCTTTTGAAGCAGTTGCTCCTAGTTCAGTGGTACCTGCTATTATAGTAAAAGGCAGGGAGAGGAAAGCATAAACCTTCTTTCTTCTGTCTCTGGAGTTTGTCTAGTGCTGGATGTGTTGGCCAACCACATGCCATTTGGTGTGGTATAGGACAGTGCTCGACAGGGTTCTTTGGAGCAAAGGTGGATTCCAGGGCTGGATCAGGATAGGTACAAGACAAGCTTGTTACTTTCTTGTTTACTGTGCCATGAAGTCCGCGCCTCAAGGAGACCAAAAGTTGGGGTGTTGCAGAAAATGTAGACGTGAGTGGTAGAATGCTACCACTGGTTAAGTGCAGGACAATGTACCAAAGAGTAGAGTCTTGGTAGAGATTCTATACCAGCATTGAAGGAAGGGGAGCTCTTGCTTACAGAATGCCAATGGGTGATTGGTAAGTGAACAGGGAATGCTGGTGTTGGAAAATCACCGTCTCATTTGTTCTTTTGAAACAGGGTCTTGCACCTTCAGCCTGTGAACTCACTATGTAGCTCAGCTGACCATCCTGACTCAGCCTCCCATGTGCTGGGATTACAGGTGTGCATCACTGTGCCTGGCTAGGGAGTCAGTCTTTTTTTTTTTTTTTTTAGAACCAGGGATTGAACTCAGACCCTTGCGCTTGCCAGGGAAGCACTTAACCCACTGAGCCATCTCCCTGGCCCCGGAAGTCAGTCCTTTGTAACAACATAGTAGTGATTGGATCATGAAAGAACCAAGAACAGATTATAAAATTTTTATGTAAGACACACGTATATTGTCTTAAGGGTATCTCCCAAGGACTGCTTGTTATAAAAGAAAACTGGAGAAATTAGTATCTTGACTTGGTTTGTCAAAATTAATGTTAATAATGAGTAGTAATGAGGGACAGATGACACCATATGCCTTGATGTGACACTCTGAAATGGGTACAATATATAAACAGTGTCATCATCCAGAAAATATAACATAAATCTAATTGTGAGAAAACATTAAGAAAAGAGAAAAAGAGAAAGGGGTAAACAGTTACTTCCCAGTCCCCTCTTTTCTTGGTACTGGAGGTGCAACTCATGCTGTGGGCTTCCTAGGTATAAGCAAGCTCACTTCCATAGAAAGCCATGTTGAATTGCTCTTCTTGGCCTGAATCTTGAGATCCTCCTTCGTTAGCCTCTGTGGCAGATGGGGCTGTAGATGTGTGCCACCATGACCATCAGGATGGATCTACACTCCTTTCCTGAAGTGGAGATTGCAACTCAGGTCCTTGGACATGGCAGGCAAGCAGTGTGTAATTTTAGGAACCCAAGTGCTCAGATTCAAAGGCACTAATGGTTGTGAGGCACTACCTTTGAGTGAAAAGCAAACTGCATATGTGTACATATACACACATTCACATTTATGAGCAAACAATGCAAATAATGAAGGGAATAAGAATTTTTTTTTTTTTTAGACTATTCACATAACATGCACATAGAACAATAAACACTTTTATTACATGAGTTAAACCAGGAGGGAAGGTTTATTTGCCTTCCCGGGCCTTGGTTTTCCTCAGCTAGAACTCCAGCTCTTTGCCCTCTAGCACACAGCCGTCTGCTCGGCCACACTGGCCTGGGCGTGATGCGATGCAGGCAGGAAGCTTGCCCTGCTGGAGCTGCTCCTCCAGAAGACTGCTGATCTTGGCGTTCTTTTTCCTTTCATCATACTTCTTTTGAATTTTCTTTGATCGTTTTTTGTTTAAAATCTCCTCCTCCTCAGGAGCCAGCTTGGCCCCTTTTTTCGGCCCAGGGGCAGTGCATAGTGGGATTCATACCACTGTCGGTACGGCATGCTGCCAATGAGCACAGTGCAGTTCTTCACCAAGGTCTTGGTGCGGACCAGCTCGTTATTGGATGCATTGTAAACAACATCAATGATCCTTGGTTTTCGAGTACAGCACTCAGAGCCCCAGGAGAAGTTTCCCACATCTAGCCGCAGGGCTCGGTACTTCTTGTTGCCTCCTCGAACTCGGACTGTGTGTATGCGGCGGGCACCAATCTTAGTGCTGGCAGCAGGGCGCCCCAACTCATACTTCCGCTTCTTGTGATAGGGCTTTCTTTTGCCGCCGGTCTTGCGGCGCTTGTGCCAGTTGTCCCGAGAGATGCTCATTGCTCGGCGCCTGCTAGAAAGAGCTAATAAGAATGTTAATGAATGAATTAGGATTTTTTTTTTTTTTTGTATTTTAGGGAAGGGTCTACAGGATGTTTAGGGTCCTATTACTAAATGGGACTCATAGTGATCCACCTGTTTATAGGCTCCCAAGAGCTGGGATTACAGGTGTGCCCTACCACGCCCAATCTCAATTGCCTTCTCAGGGCCCCCTGGGGGTGTGGCAGGAATGGCAGACCTGGGGATCAAACCCCGGCCACTGCACTTTAATCCACTGAGCTATTTGGCTGGCACAATGTGTTGTTGTTTTTTTTTTTAATATCAGGAGAAGCTTTTTTCACTGGCTAAAGGATACTTAGGTGTTCTTTGTAGTATTTTTTGCAGCTTTTTAAAAATTTCAGAGTATTTCCACATAATGAGAGTGTAAAAACAAAACAGTAATTTCCTAACATCTGAATTAAAGGAAAAAAGACGAGACACTAGTTAATACCAAAACTTAATAATTTCCTACATGGACATTGTATTTTTGGATTTGGGTGAAGTTATAGTCATGAATAAGATAGGAAAAAGGATGCCTGCATAAGAACAGTAGTGTGTTGTGTTTTCAGGTCCACAGCCTCTCCTGGTCCCAGTAAATAGCAGTGCATCAAGGAAAAAGAACAAAAGACCTACTGAAGCCAAGAAGGTGGAAGTGACAGCGGTGGTGACAGCACAGGTGGTGGCGGTTCCTCCAGTAATTACAGAGCAACAGACAGATGAAAAGAAAAGCATGGAGGAGTCTACTGAGCCAACTGCAGCCCCTGCGGGCGAGGGGGACCCAAGTAATCAAGTGAAAGGCGAGCTGAGAGAGGGCTTCTCCATGGTAAGCAGGGGAGAATCTAATGCTGAAGTGAAAGTGGAATCTGGAAGGGGCCTCCCCGAGA